GCAGAGATTGCGTTATTATACAGTTTAACATTTTTTCAAATTCTTGTAGATTAAGTTATATTTAATTTTCATTTCTGGGAAATTGGTTAGTTCAGAGGAAAAGGCGTGGTTTTTTTTTAAACGATGATTAAAGTTTTATATTTAATGGTTTTGTAGCTGCTTTTATGTATTTTTTAATAGGACAAATATCCGTTAACATCAAAGAGGTTGAGTTTTTCCTTTAGCTTTTTTCTTACTCTCGCCATATTAAGATTTTCTGTTATGTTACTTTGTTATGTCTGAGTTGGTGTTAGGTGTGAGTTGTGAAAGTTGGTGGGTGGTGTGTGGTGATGGTTAGTGTTGTGGTGTGTGGTGGTGGTGTAAGGTAAGGTGGTTGTGTCGGTGAATTGGTAGTGTAGTGGTCGGTTGTGTGAGTGAAGTGGTGTGTGGTAGGTTGTGGGTTGATTCAGTGGTGGTGTGGTAGGTTGGTTGTTTTAGTTGTGGTGGTGGTGTGTGGTGTGATGGTATTGTTGTGGTGGTTGTGTAGGTTGTGGTGGTAGTGTGTGGTGAGTTGTATGTGTTTGTGGTGGTGTGGTGGAGGTGTGTGGTGGTGATTTGAGTGATGGTGTGTTGGTAGTTTGAGTGGCGTTTATGTTTTGACCCTGGTGTGTTTGTAGTGTGGTGGTGGTGTTGTGAGTGATAGTGTAGTGTTGTGGTGGTATGGTGGTGGTGTGTGTGGTCTTTTTGGTTTTGGTGGTGGTGGTAGTGATGGTTAGTGTTGTGGTGGTGTGGTGGTGTGTGTTGTGGTGGTGTGGTGGTGGTGTGTAGTGATGGTATATGTTGTGGTGGTTTGTGGTGGTGGTGTGTGTGGTTGGGTGGTGGGTGTGTAGGTGATGGTTAGTGTTGTGTGTTGTGTGGTGGTGTGTTGTGGTGATGGTATGTTGTGGTGGTGTGGTGGTGGTGTGTGTTTATTTGGTATGTGTTGTTGGTGTTGGGGGGTGGTGGTGTTGTGTGTGGTTGTGTTGTGGTGGGTGTGGTGGTGTTGTGGGTGATGGTGGGGTTGGGGGTGGGTGTGGTGGGGGTGGGGGTTGTTGTGTGTTTTGGGAGGTGGTGTTGTGGTGGTTTTGGTGGGGTGTGTGGTGCGTGGTGTGTTGTTATTGGGTATGTGGTGATGTGTGTGTGGGGTGGTGGTGTGTGTGGAGGTAGTGGGGCGGGTGGTGTGTGGTGGTGTGGTGTGGTGGTGTGCGGTGTGTGGTGGTGGTGTGTGGTGGTGTGTGTGGTGTTTGGTGTATGGTGGTGTGTGGTGGTGGTTGTGGTTGTGTGGTGGTGCGTGGTGGTGTGTGGTAGTGTAATGTGTGTGTGGTGTGGGTGGTAGTGGTGGTGTATGATGTTTGATGGTGTGTGTGTGTGGTGGTTGTGGTGGTGGTGGGGTGGTGTTTGGTGTATGGTGGTGTCGTAGTGGAGGTGTCGGTGGTGTAGTGGTGGGGTGGGGTGGTGGGGGTGGTGGTGGTGCGTGGTGGTCGTCGTGTGTGGTGGTGGTGTGTAATGTGTGGTGGTAGTGGTGGTGGTGTGTGTAATGTGTGGTGGTGGTGGTGGTAGTGTTTCTGGTGGTGGTGTATAGTGTGTGGCGGTTTTGGTGGTGTGTAATATGTGGGGTGGTCGTGGTGGTGGTGTGTAGTGGTGGTGGTGTTGTGTGGTTGTGTGTTGTGGTGGTGTGGTGGTGGTGGTGGTGGTTGTATGTGATATGTGGTGGTGGTGTGTTGTGGTGTGGTGTGTTGCGGTGGTGTGGTGGTGGTGTGTGGTGGTGGGTGTGTGGTGGTGGTGTGTTGTGGTAGTATATGGTGGTGGTTGTGTGGTGTGTTGTGGTGTATCGTGGTGTTGGTATGGTGTGTGGTGGTAATGTGGTGTGGTGGTGGTATCGGTGAGTGATGTGGTGGTGGTGTGTGGTGCTGGTTGTGTGTGGGGCTGTATGGTGATGGTAGAGTGTGTGTGTGTGTGTGTGTGTGTGTGTGTGGTGTGGTGGGTAGTGGTTGTGTGTGGTGCTGTATTGTGATGGTAGAGTGTGTGTGTGTGTGGTGGTATGGTGGTGGTGGTAGTGTGTGGTGGTGGTAGTGGTGGTGTGTTTTGTGTGTGTGTGGTGGTGGTGTGATGATGTGGTGGTGGTGGTGGTGGTGGTGGTGGTGGTGTGTGTGTGTGTGTGTGTGTGTGGTGTGTGTGTGTGTGTGTGTGTGGTGGTAGTGGTTGTTGTGTGTGAAGAGGGGTGTGAGTGTGTGGTGGTTGCGAAGGTATGTACTAGAGATGTGTGGTTGTGTGTGTTGTGTGGTGCTGAAAGGTATATGGTGGTGGTGTGTGGTGGTGACTTGTGGTGGTGGTAGTGTGTAGTAGAGGGTGTGGTGGTGTGGTATGTTATTGTTGTGTTGAGTATTGGTGGTGGAGGACAGTGTTGGTGGTGGAGGACAGTGTTGGTGGTGGAGGACAGTGTTGGTGGTGGAAGACAGTGTTGGTGGTGGAAATCAGTGTTGGTGGTAGCTGTCGTCTGTATTGGTGG